TAATGAATGAACATGTATTTGAATTTAAATATATTTTTAAAACCCATATTCATATATGTTTAATTTATATTTAAACTTTTTTTTATAATTAAAATTAGAGAATTTATTTAGAGTGTGCAGGGTTTTTTCTCTAATAAAGACTACGACAATTTATCTCAGAAATATATTTTTATATCTTTATGATCTACCTCAACAATTTTGCTTGACCTCTTCTTTATATTAATTAAGAGAATTGCATTTCTAGTCGCCTTTGCCAAGAGGAAACTAGTTTCAAATTAAAAAAAAAAAAAAAAAATAAAAATAAAAGAAAAAGCACAATCAAAACAAAATCCCAAATAAAATTCTATGCAACTGTACGTAAATATATTCTATACTATGTACAAGACACACACATTGCCGCCCACGCTTATCAAGAATTCTCTCTATATATATATTTATATATAAGTTTGTGCATATATAATTTGCTTCTTTTTTTCTAGTATTGTTGTATTTGTAAATTGTTTCACGGCAGTGAAGCGTGGCAAAAGGCAGCCAACGCGTCATTGAACACTTGGACCTACTTCTCGGATACAGCTGGCATATATAAAAAATGTATCCACATATATGTATATATGCCGATTATAAAACCAACAATATGCATACAATCAAGCACAGATCTAAATAGAAAAATATTTGCACAGAACAAACGCATCGAGGCGTCACCACGAGCAACAAACCAAACAAATTCAACATTTAGAATTCTCTCACGGCTATTCCACTAAGATAAACGCATGAGTACACATACACACATACATGGATAATAAATAAGTATAAATATACGAAAGAAATAAAGCTTTTGATATAATAATGTTGAACATGTTATATATGCAGATCATGTTAAAAATAATTCAAGAACATCTAAGCTAACAGACTGCGTAAATGTTATTATACATTAGATCACTAACCAGATTAATGATTATATACTAATGCTAACAGGATAACATAGCCAGCATAAAGCTCAACGCTTGATTTCTAACATACAAATTCACCACAGCTTAAGTTGGTTTCAACCTCATGTAAAAATGTAATTTAACATAATATGCTAATGTTAGCTCATTTAAATGCTAACAGCATAGAATACATTAGCTTTTGGCATATATATGTAGATAGAATTCATATGCATATGCGAAATCTGTTGAAATAGTATTGAATTGAAAACCCCATTAAAGAACGACGCTACGACAATACTGAGGAGAAAATGACGGCATCGTAGCAGTAGCAAAACAAGATCACAGAAAATGATTTTTTAAATACTTAATTTGAGCAAAAACCATGAATTTCGTGTTACTTACTGAGCACACCTCGTGTATACATATTATATATACACAGACATAGAGCACAATATCCAACTAGACGATAAGACGACGAGCACATATTAAATATATCCAGCAGCAAAAAAATAAATATACGAGAAATACAGACGATAAATTTATCTGCTAATTAAAAAAGAATCTAGCCGAATACAAAATTATTCAACTATATTCACACATATATACACATACGTGTTAGTGTATACATCTTACGTGTTGAGTGTGTAATAAAACATTTTAGAAAACAAGTTTTGCAGGCCGGCAAAACTAACTAAAAACCATAAACAGAACAAACAACAAACCTTTAGAAAGCCCGACTTGAATATTTTGGACATAGCTTACATCCATAGAGTATACATATATATGTAGTATATAGTATATGTATACACATGAGCATTTCCGCCACTGATGACGCAAACATGAAACAAACGCTGAAAATTGTTGAGGTATTTCGTCGAGTTCTTAACCCCGAGCCACATGTGTAGAATTTTATTTCATCAAATAGTTCTCTAGCCGCACTTCTGCATGGCACTGAAACAGGTAACAAAAGAGGGCCAATAGCAGCAGCTGCTGCTGCTCGTGCTTGTTGTTGGGATGCATTTTGGCCAGGTAGCGAGCCAACACGGAAAACACCTTGACAAACTGCGGCTGCTGCGCCCCCAGATGCAGCTGCCTATAAGCTAGATAAGACCGAATGAATAAAATATATAGATACTTTCCAGAATCTTCCCTTTCTTAGCCTTTCTGAAACTAGTTCAAGGCTAAAGAAACTGGATCATTATATTGCTAAGGCATTAAAGGAAATGTGATCTTTTTAATGCATATTGAAACTTAAATTATTATTTTGTATGCATCTGAAATAAAATAATATATCTATGGAATATATGTAAATATTTATATACGACAAATATAAATTTCACAAGTCCCAATAGGAAGTAAGACCTTCATAAAGATTATTCATAAGCTGATAAGCTTTTCGGAATAGTATTATATATTATAATTACTATAGTAGAAAATATAACTATTTTGTTTACTTGTTTTAAAAATTAAACAATAATTTAATATATTATACAAAAACTAAAATTCTAGAAATCGTAATATCATTTAAGTAGAACGAATCTAACTTATAAGGCGAGTCGCGCTTTTTTTGATGACATTGTGTCAGCCTTAACGGAACTAGTTCAAGGCCAAGTCAAAGCGGAACTAGACGAAAGCAATTTGTAATTAGCGCGTTTGAGTTAGATAAGAAAAACAAACACTTACGGCGAGTATTAAATTTCTACTAAAAGAGAAATTAGACAATTATTTTCCATTTAGTTTTTATCCTATTAAATAAGGACATATGATCCACAGTCAAAAACATTTATATGTAGCTAACCTTAAGATCGCCGTAAAACTAGTTCAACTTGGCCAAGTTCAATTCGAAATTGAAAACATTTAACACAAGCAACAGAAATGCTAATTTCTTTTCAAATATTTTACATTCGCTTGGCAACAGCCGTTTGTCTATGTAAAAATCGAAAAATCAAATATGTTGCATTCAATTGAAATTGTGGCACTGATGCACAAACATTGTCGAGAGGGCGCTAGGCACAGAGAATAGAGAAAGAGCGATACAGAGAATAGCCACAGCCATGTACGAAGAAGTCGAAGTTGCAATGCTCTAACGCGGGCCTTAGAAAATCGGAATTTGTTCTTTAGAAATTAGGAACTGAAAAGTCAAAGATGAAATATTTGATAATATTCTATATATTTCGTTTTTTATATTCTACAAATTTAAAAACATATTTTTTAACCCAATTGTAGCCACTGCTCTGCCTCTCTTTGTGATTCTCATTAGACCAAATGCAAATAAGAGCCTTAAATTGCACTGCCTCTCTGAGTAATTCTCACTGATTTATACAGTACAATGATTCACATTAATTTAAATATGATTAAGAACAGCCAAATAAATTAAGCTTCATTTCCAAGTGACTCCCATATCAACGTACATTTTGATGACTTTATCTATAAGAAAAGCGTAATACCCATCTAGCCAAGTGCAGCAACGTTGCAGCCACATCAGTGACAACAAACAAGCTGCAAAAATAACTGCAGCTGTTGCAGTTTTATAAATGTGGTTGCCCACCCATGCCTAACCTACCCAAAAAACACTATATATGTGTGTATACTAGATATATGAAAAGCCCCGTAATATTGAGGGCGCATTTTTTGAGAATCAATGAGTAGGAGGATGAGGTTGAGTATGGGTTTCGGGGCTGGCCAATAAGAGCTGCAAATTTTTCGGCTTGCCAACTTTTCGATAGACAGAGGCGGGTACAGAGGTGCTCGATAGTTGGAGCCGAGGCGTGGGTAGGGGGGCGTGGTAAATGACTTTTAACGCTGACAGTGAAAACAGTTTTGGGCCAAAAAAGGCGGCAGCTGAGCTGGAACCAAAACTAATTTGAGCAACTGTTTTTGTTGTTGTTTGAAAACGCGAAAACGGAAACGAAAAACTGATAAATGAGACAAAATGTGAAAAGTCAGCTAAATGATAAGGCCCACTGGAGCTCAGCTGGCATTATGATAGATATTTCTATACATATAGACATAGATATGAATGGGTCTATCATATCATATATACATATATATATATAAATGCCTAACGATGGCCATAAATCACACTCCGTGTCAATATTGATTGACTGGCCGTGAAAAGCTGCGGGCGAATAAATTCAAATCGAATCGAATGCAAAGCATTTCCAGCCAAGGCAAATACCCGCTAATTAAAACAAATCGTTGTTTAAACAGCCAATTAATGGCTATCAAAATTGCAAGCTTTTGATCCCTCGAAATGTTCGTGAAAATGGAAATGGCAACAAATGGGCCAATTGAAACGTGAATGAACTTGATAGACAAATATTTATATAGGGATTGGGGGTAGTCAATCCTTATTTCAATTAAGAGAATATCTAATCTCGCCTCCTTGCAATTTACATGGATTGAAGATCACATTTAGTTCGTAGTAGAGCCTCTCTTTGCAATTCTCATAAAGTGCAAAACAAGACGAGGCATTATAGAGGCGATAAGACATTCATTTTCTTTGTTAACTTTACTAGCTCACATACAGTATACATGTGGTTCATTTATGTAAAGTTGCCTTCCTATGCGATTCCCATGAGTTAAGAAGAAATAATTGTAAAAAGGAAGATATTTTGGTTTCTTGAGATTCCATTGAGTTCACATCTAATACTTAGATGAGCTTATAATAGAAGTATAGACGAGCCAACTCACTTTACGAGTTTAATGATACGATAACAGCAAGATAATACAGAGATAAGCGAAAAACTGGAGTGAGCTGGAATAGGGTCTATTCATGAGTACGCATAAGGCAAGGCATAGGGATTCCGCCAGGCTTCCATGTATTACATACGTTTTCAAAGGAAACCATTCCCATTTCCAATGCATAATGGATTCGATAAGAAGTGCCATTAGACCCATCTCAACTTTAAGTATATTAAAATCTTTTATCATTTCTAGTTAGGTATGTTTAATCTCACACATCTTAAGGATAATATCAAATTGAAATTAATTAAATCAATTATTAGTTTATTACAGTACTTAAAACAGCTCTTCAGTTGAGTGGGAAGGTTTTATTTAATCTTCAGGAATCTAAGAATTCTTCTCTTCATCATCGGGCTCATCCGTCGAGCTGCTGTCCACTTGACTCAATTCTCCGCCCTGTGCTGTGGCCTTCCCGTCCGGCTTGTTGGGTGTCTTTCGGGGCAGTTTGTTTTGACGGGCCAAGCTGTTGGCATTGAGGATGGCCATGGAGCCGGCTTCGTTGAAGCGCGGTCGCTTCTCCTGCAACTTGCTGGCCCAGTACTCGGTGGCGCGACGACGCGCGTTGCCACAGATGTTCTCGCTGGGCGTACTCTTTGGCGGCGGCGTCGGCTGCTCACGTCTCAGCCCGGGCTTCACGTTCAGCATGGGAACGCGCATGGGCATGGCCGTGGACAGGGTCGTGGGCAGAGCCATGGGCATGGACATGGGCAGGGCCGTGGGCAGAACCATGGGCATAGACATGGACATGTCCACGGGCATAGGCATGAGCTTGGAGATGGCGTTTGAGGGCATTGCCATGGGACGCTTGACGAGATTGGGTAATTTCGGCTTCATCTTGCCATCGTCTAGGATCTCGTTCAAGGGTCGAGTGCGGAATTCGTGGACGAGCGGATACAGACGCTGTATGGCCGACTCCACGGCGTTCACGCTGGCCGCCGTCACCGTGATGCTGCCCGTCGAGAATATCTTGAGGGTGGCCTTCGGATCCTGCATTTTGAAGGTGACGCCGGGATGCAACTCCGGCTCATAGCAGGCGCTCTCACGGTGCCGCTCCGAGAAGTTGACGATGCGTATCGGCCAGGGCATGCTGCAGGTGCCGAGCACGTTGACGATGCGAAATTGCTGGAAGCGCACCGGGAATCCCAGTTTGCTCAAGCTGCGAGCATAACGACGCGCCGCTACCTTGGCCTGCGACTCAGAGATGGCGCCAGTACAGGTAATGCGGCCGGACGACCAGATCGAAGCCGTCGTATAGGGACGACGCAAACGCATCGTCACCATCCCGTTCTCCCGACGATACTCCACGTTGGAGCCATGCAGCGCAATCTCCCGCAGCTTCAGGTGACAGCGCACGCTGAACGAGCAGACGACATTATTGATCACAATATCCAGCTCGGATGGTGGATTCGCATTGGTAGTGGTGGTGTTGACGGTGGTGTTGGCGGTGGTGTTGGTAGTAGTAGTGTTGGTAGTGGTGGTGTCGATGGTATTGGTAGTGTTGGTGGTGGGGGTGACAACGGTGGGTGTAGTAGTGGTGGCGTTGTCAATGGCTGTCCCAGCCACATTTTCCACTTTGTCCTCAACTGTTGCAGTTGGCGGCTTTGTGGTTTCGGCTTCTTCATTCACAGACATTTTTTTACAAAATTGTTTTAGCTTAGCTTAGTAACAGTGACTAGTCTTAGTTTGATTCTTACAATGATGTATGTTCAAGGGACATGGATATTCATCTCTCGCCTGGCCTACTTAACATCAACAAAATCCATTAGAAGTTAGCCAGGGCACACTTTCTTCTGCTACTTAAGGTCAACAGGAGAAAGCAGCGACCTGGCAGAAGCCAGAGGTGAAGTTGAGTTCACAGTGGAATAGAGATTAATAGAGCAAATGTGTAAAGACAGAGAAGATTGGCATTTCATTCTCTTAAATTGATATTCAGATGAATACTGCGAAAATAAAGTATTTTTAGCAAATACGTATTTGATTATTATCATCATTTTTATAATCAAGAATGTATACTTAAATCAAATCGTATACTCTACTCATTACATGGTATCACAAGTTGCAAAGTAAATATTGAAATAGAGCATTCAGAGGTCAAGGAAATGACTCACTCACTCATTAGTTTAAAATTCTGATACGAGTGCGAAAAAGGCAATGAAAAAACAAAGTAGAAAATAAAAATACACACTTAATCATCAGAGAGCAAACAGAAACAAAAATTTAAGAAAACACACTTCATTTCGTATGGTAAAAATGAGATTTTTTCCAAAGGTCATCTAAATCTACTTAAAATATAATCGGTATGAGTTCAGAATCGCAGGTAATAACAGGAACTGTCGTCCATATTCTAGAGGTGAAAATTGTATTGCTGCATATCTAATTCATGAATAATGTGTTTATTTGCTCAAGATATATACATTTTGGACGATGAACAAATCTTATGCTAATGAAGAATACCTTAACTAAGCAGAAAGCCTAGTTCATAATAGTTTCACTGATCAGTGAACCAGTTCCCTAATTCATTTAAATTGAACATTCAGTTTCTGAATAGTGGAATAACTCTAAACATCGCAAACAAATGTGCAAATCCTAGGCTAAAAGTCTAATGAGTAAATTAACTTCTCACTCAAGTAGTTCAATAGTTCCATAAACCGTTCAATTGAACAACTTGATTACGTATCGCCTCTATAACACTTAATCATGAGCTCATTGTCAACTGCGGCTCCAAAAGGGGGGCAAACTGCTGTCAAGTGGATCTCAAGTGTGAGCTGATAAGAGTTGGGCTACCCCCTGCAATACTTTCCCTCTGCTCATATCCTCCACCCCTTTACAGAACAGAAGAAGCACCAGCGACTGGGTCAACACAAATCATAAAAACTCAAATGTGACTTTGATTGTGAATTATTGTGTCAACGGACCTCAGCTTATCAATAAAGATAAACAATGTTCGTTCTAAGGGCTCGTTAAGTGTCATTGCAAATATCTAGAAAAAAATAAAAGGAAAACGAAAGTCTGTCAAGACAAATTGCGATTAGCCGAGTGCCATAATAAATTGTTATAAGTCAAGAGAATTGTGTTAATGAAATTATAAATAGAGCAACAGCTGCATAAACAAAGCAACTGAAAAGGAAAGTGAGAAATGTGAGGCAGAGGGAGAGCGAGAGTGATGGAGAGAGAGACAGACACACTCTGTGGGACGGAGAAAGAAACAAAGAGGGAGAAAGAGAGAAATTCTTAATGATTTTTTCTTAATATTTATCTTGATCATCTCTTTGTTACTCTTCTGCTTCTTATCCAATTTCAATTTCTTCCAATTGCACATGTTCTTATATTTCTTGCTTTACTCTTCCGTCACCTTTTTCCCTTGCTCAATATTTTCTCTTGAAAATATTTTAAATTCAATAGAATTCATTTGAAAAGAAAGAAAAGTTCACTCCATATTCTAAAATGAAAGAATCCATTAAGCCCAAATGCATTTCAAACAAATATTTATAGCAAAGAAAAAAAAAGCTATGAAAAAAGCCAAATGCGTTTCCAACCTACACATATCAAACTCTGAGACTGAGAGAGATAGATAGATAGAGAGAGAAAACATTTGTTTAAGCTAAATATAATGAATGACTCGCTTTACACTAACATTTGATTAGCTCTACCGAAAAAAAAAAAACGTAAATAAACAAAAACAAAAGCGAAACCCAAGCGGAAAGCAGGAAGGAAGAAGGCACTGAGTGGGGAATGGGAAATGACATGGAATGCCGCATTTGAATAGAAAATCAAATGTCGGCTCTGTTGTCGATGTCTGTTGTTGTTGCAGCTTGTTTGTTTGCTTTTCGCACTTCAATTGTTATAGCTGGTGGCTAAAATTTGTTTAGCTAACGAAAACGCACATAAAACAGCAGCAACAACATGCCAAGGGCAACGCAACGCTGCAGCTCGGCTATAAATTTATCGCATGCTAGAATAGTCGACGCCGGCAGCGCAGCAAAGGAATCGATGCAAACACTCACACACTTGCACACACACGCACACACACACGCTCAACACAAATTCGAAAACAGCCAACTTAATAAAAATTCTAAAATAACAGTTACGTGTTGCTGACCAATTCGTACGGCCCAATGGCCCATATGTGTGTGTGTGCATATAAATCGACATAGGTATATGTAGTACGATATATAGGCCTATAAATCTATAGATCGGATACTAGTTGCTAGGTAAATTCATAATCATACCACATTTGCATAAGCAGCGCCTCGCGCGCCGATACAGCAACAACAGAACACAGGCACACACACTTGCACACAACGGGTGAACGCACAACAAATTTCTAGCAATAACAAATCGCTGTGCGTTTACTTTTCTTTTTTGTTTTTGGCACTTTCTTTTTTGATTTTGCGCTCGCAATTATTTATTGCTAATTACACTATAATGTAGCGTCACACTGCACTTTGACACACACTCACGCACGCATACTCGATGTTTGTTGTGTTTGGACTATTATTAAATTCTTTTAGTTGCGTTTTGATTTCGATTTTTTTTTTCGTTCTAGGCGCCCACGCACAAACACGTCCGTTCGCTGTGCAAGTTCGACGCGTAATAACAGCTGTAAGCTGAGTTGCAGCTGTTAACTGAATTGTTTGTAAATGTTAACCGGCAGTGTTGCACATTTGGCGGGAAGTGAAATAAAGTTAGCAGTTTTAATAGGGCACTTTATAATATACAGCATTTTTAAATCTTATTCATATAATTCTATTATTAACAATAACTATATATACAATTATAAGAAATATATTCACAATATGTTGATTTCCTTAACAACAGCCGGCCCTGAGTCTGTTAATTAACAGTGGCTCTCTCTCGTGTCAACTATCGCGGTCGTCTAGAGATGGACATTAGTATAGTTAATTATTTAGATAATCATGTCGGAACTACAGGTATAAAAGTGTGAAATTAACGTTAAATACAGTAAATTAATATCCACAAATTTACCAGGAATTCAACCAAGCTGCCGAGGATGTCAAGAACTTGAGCAGCACACCGGCTGACAGCGATTTACTCGAATTGTACGGCCTTTACAAGCAGGCCAATGTGGGCGATTGCAATACAGGTGAAAATTGACTTTTCTACAATTACAATGCTGTTGAATTATTAATAATTGCTATGTACGCTGCGCAGAAAAACCTGGTTTCCTCGACTTCAAGGGCAAGTCCAAATGGGAGGCCTGGAACAAGTTGAAAGGCACCAGCCAAGCCGACGCCCGAACTGCCTACATCACCAAAGTAAAATCTCTGATTGCGTCTCTGGGTCTAAAGTCCTAAGCATATGGATTATGTGTTTCGTGTATAACAATCCAGTTGGAAATGCATTTCTCTCACATGTAATACGCACAATATTTCGTCATTAGCACAAAATACATACGCACGTCAAAAATGCATTACGCATCTCTTTAATAATGTATGTATGTATGATTTGTGTACTTACATATACATACATACGTGCATGTGTTTGCCAACTGTCAAAATGATTTTCGCCTATTAAGCATATGGATATGATTAGACCAGGCGGAAGCCCAATTATCGCACGCCAGCTTTAGTTAATACAAAATACACTAGCAGAAATCAATTTGCACATTTATTTTGTTGTCAAAAGCGGGAATGGATATATAAAACACAGTTATACACTCATGTATACTTAAACGAGTAATGTAGGCATGCTCAGCTGTCCGGCTGGGCGATTCGGGCATAGAGGCATATACATATATATACTGTAGGCATGCTCATGTACGTATCGAGGCATATACTGGAGGCATGCTTAGCTGTCCAACTGGGCTGTTCGGGCGCTGCTGCTGGACTGCCGCTGTCGCTCGTAGACTTCGCGCTGCAGCTCGCGCAGATTTAGCTCCAGCGTTTCGACCACATCGAAGTTTAGATCCTCGCGCGCCTGCTTAATGTAACCTTTGATTATATTGATTTGCTCGATGAGCGGATCATCGACCATTGTGACTGTCGTCGAGGCTTGTGGCGCCGACCAATTGTTCAGTGATTGCAGATCGGACTGCAAAGATACTCGAATTAATTATTTAAACAGTTGTTAATTGCTATAAGCTTACGCCCTGGGCAAAGCTGCGACTTTCCGGAGTAACTCCCGCCTGGATCGTCAGTCCTTTGCGTTCGTGCGCCTCCATGGCCATGCGCTGCTCTGTCAGAATCCGTTGCTCCGTTTCGATTCGCTTGCGCTCCTGAATCTGCCTTATGTATCCCTCATCCGGCAAAGGAGGCAGCGAGAGCATGCGCTCCTTGATGGCTTGCACACAGCTTAATCTTATGGCCTTCTTGAGTGCCTCCTCGCGACTGCCCGGCTCCGAGTGTATGGTCAAGATGCGCTTGCTGCGCAAATCGATTTTCTCCGCCACCTGTCCGATCTTTCCACGCAGTGCGCCCGCATCAGCCAGTGTAAAGATGGATTCGCCTTCGTGCAGGCTGTTTACGATCTTCAAATACATCTCCAGATCGGGCGTCACCTGCTTCTGAAGCTGCCTTATCTCCTCATAGACTTGGGCGAGCAGCGGGCGACAGGTGCGACTCTCGTGCATGTCCTGGCGTGTGTCCAGGAGCCACAGGCAATGCTGGCAGAGGCGTATGGCGCGATAGTCCGGATGCTGCAGCTGCTGCAGAGGCTCGCCACGTGTGCTAGACAAGCTGGCCAGATGCACTGCAACGGATAAAGAAATATATATATAGAAGCTAAATGTAACAGGATTCGGGTATACATCCGCTCACATGCATTCTCCAGCTGCAGGAAGCGGGAGCAATCGTTGCACATGATGCCGCCGCAGAGCCGGCAATGATGCTGCCGTCTCGCGATGTGAAAGCTCTTCGCGCAGCTGGGGCAGAGCTTGACAGAGCTGCCATCCAGCCAAGGCACCGTCTGCTGCTCGTGCTGCTTGCGCTGCACTGCATCCGTGGGCAGGTCCTTGAGTAGGCGATGCAGTCGAATAATCAGCTTATTCGTCTCGCTCGCATAGCGCTCCAGGCGTGGATTGCGTACCGTTTGAAAGTAATCGAAGTAGGAGCGCTCGGCACCCACAGTCTGCTTCGACATATTTTGGTAGAGATTTAGCTGTGCTCTCCCGGTGCTTGGCTTGGCTGATGCTCCATTGGAGCCAGCTGCATTGCTGGCACTGGCAGCCGGCGAGGCAGCTGACGGCACACGAATGCGCTCATCATCAAAGTTGTTAAGAATCTTCTGCTTGGCTTTGGTGAAGATATCCTTGAACACGGATTTGAGGGCGTCCTGCTCCTCGGCATGCTGGCGTGCAAAGTGTTCGGTCAAGAAGTCAATTGACTTCAAATCGGCACGGCAAATGGGACACAGAAAGCCCTCCAGTATCTCATCACTGCTGGCGCTGGGCTCCTCCTCGGTGCTATCAAAGGGATTACCCGACATGCTGTCATGGAATTATTTTTATTTCTCTCTGTTTTTTGTGGGTGTGTTTAAGTTGCCTCACAGCTGGGCTAGATGCGATGTGACAGCTGCTGCACACTGGCCATGTGTGTATGTTGAGTATATTAATAACAATTGAATACTAGCTGCCTTTTGAATGCGTCAAAATATTGACTTTTGATTAAATTTTAAATGAAATTCCCCTAATGCCACCCACTCGCCAAAGATAGCAAGTATTTGCCATTCACGTGTCAACGTACTGCTCGAGCAGAATACGCTGTTAGAGTAACGTAAATAAACAAGCAAAAACTGCCATTTACATGCAAGCAGCAACTTAACATAAATAAACAAGCAACATTTAACAGCTTCCTAAAGTAATAAAACAAAACTATTTCAATAGAAAGAACTTTGTCAATCAATTTAATTGGTGCATAACTTAAATCTTAATAACAATTTAATCTAGACTTCCTCATCGCTAAATTCTTCCTCAACTTGAGTTTTTCTCGACTTGCGCTCTAATTCTCGCGCCAACAGGTCCTTGAATGCTTCGTATTCGGGCAGTGTGACATGACATATTTTGGTTACAAAGGATTTCTCGGACGTATCCGTTATCTGATATAGTCTATGATTTGTCGTCGGCTCATTGGGATCTGCCTTGAGTGGGCGTGGCTTAAACAAACCCAAGCGAACCAGAAAAGTGTGACGACAGCGCAACTCCTCGAAGGACAAGGATAAAGCAGAGGACTTTACAATCTCCGGAACCTCAATGCGCATTACTTCGAACATATAAGTCAACTTCTCCTCTATCAAGTTCTCCGGCTGTGCCATCAAGTCCGGACTATTCATCAGCACCTTCCACACGTTTTTATTGGTAGACAGGCGACTCTTCAAATAGGCGCTCAATGTGAGCAGCTGATGTGCATCAGTGACGTCCAGCAGCTCCGGATATTTGGTCAACAGGAGATGCAACAAGTTCTCGCCAAACTGACAGGCGCGCCAAATCTCTAGAGTATGAATAATTCGGTCAGGCGTGCGCTTCAGTACATTTGGATTCCCAGTAACAATTCGCAGAAAGCTCATAGTTTCCAGTCCGTGATTCTGAAAAGTTTCGTGTGCCCGTCGCCATATTTCGGGTGTATAAATTGCCAATGCCGGCTCCAATTTAACGGCTTCGTCAATGTGCACTTGCTCCAGTTGCAACAATTTAGGTGCAGTTGCCTTTGCGGCCAATTGGCGAAGGTTTACATTTTTAAGCTGCAATTATCAGAATTATTTAATATTTACTACAATTAACAGGCTATTTATACGTACTTGCTGCACATTTTGTGCATTAAATAATACTCTTCTCCACATTCCCAAATAATTTTGCGCAATTTACAGCTTTTGTTGGGCCAAAACAACGGGCAACAGCTGTTTTTTTATATTAACAGAGGAGCTCGTAAAACATGTCTGAATGATACGACATCATATGTTATGCAATTGCCAATGGATGATTCAACAAGTGATATGTTGCATTCATCCTGTCAAATAAAGTTAAATACTATGAACTATAATTTTCGATTCTATTAATAGAAATACAGATCCAACTACTTAATAGTTACGAATCAGCTTCATGTGACCATATGTTATGTTTATTGTAAACAATGTTAGCACAATATCGCTGCTTCAGCCCTGGCAGCTCAATCAGCTGCACCGTCAGCAAACGCCGCGTTCGTATATAGTTAATTAATTTATTTAAACTATGGCCAAAAGTAAGAAGAAAATACGCGAACAGAACGCTATAAGAGAAGCCGCTCAAGCGAATACCGAGCGGCTGGAGACGTGTAACGACGCCTACACGAGTGGTGCATTTAGCTACCTGCGCTTCCTGGTTCACCTGCTGGCCGCTGCACAATTCTGCTATGGCATTTACTATTATCTCTTCAAATTGGATTGGCCGGAGGGATTGCATGAAGAGGAGGAGCTGAAAACCCGCTGGGGTGGCAAATTTAAGTATCTCACATTTCTAGATGTTATCGTGCAGGCCATTTACCACACCGTAGCGTTGTTAAATGATTTGTTCGGCAGTAATGTGGTGACCGTGGCGCCAAAGTCTCTTTTACGGCAGCTACGTGATTATATATTCGCCACGTTTGCATTTCCCATTGCGCATAATGTGTGCATCTCGTTTTGGGTTATTTATTTATATGATCGTGAGCTCATTTTTCCCGCCGTCTTGGACGAAATATTCCCCAAGTAAGTGTGACCATATGTTTATTGTTTATTTAATTGTTGCTATTCTTGAACTGGCTCATTGCAGCTGGCTGAATCATGTAGTTCACACGAACGTTGCACTTCTGGCCATCATGGATATGTTCACCTGCTTCCGGCGATATCCCAGTCGTCTGGCCGGCGTAACTGGCAACGTAGCCTTTATGATTCTCTATGTTATTTGGGTGAACATTGTGCGCTACTTTAGTGGTCAGTGGGTTTACCCCCTGCTTGAGATCTTGCCCATACCTCTGCGTGCTGTGATGTTTGCTGGACTGGTGGCTTTGAGTGTAATCTGCTACTTCCTGGGTGAATTTGTCAACAATATTGTTTGGGCGCCGGAATTTCAACTGCTGCAGCGAAAACTGCTTAAGCAGAACTAGACAGAATAGTAGTTATTTACTATATACTCACGTGCAAAAGCTGAAGATTAGTTCATACTTATTCATTTGCCCATAGAGTCTGCTGTACAATTCACTCCATTGTGTGTAAATTAATTGATTAACTTAAGTGGTTACAGTAAATAAAAAATGCTTGAACAAATGAAGTTTTTATCTATTCACACCAGTTCAAATAGCGCGCCATCTATCGATTATTAGTTATCGGTTTGCTAAACTATGGCTGCACTGCAGCTGAACTTGTGAGTGACCAATTCTGCTCCATTTGGAAACCATTTGAAGTAAAACATTGGGAGTATTCATTATTTCAACTTTTGAAAGTTGCTGTCAAAACCACATATACAACAATCGAATCACTACGCAAATGCAGATTTCTTTTCATTTTGACGAGCAAAACAGTCTGACAACTCTGGCGACGGCAAGGCGAATGAAAATTGGCTAAACAGCAAGCCGAGTGAACACAATGGAATTGTGTTAACAATAACGCACATGTAAGTGAAAATCAGAGCTTTTCAACTAAATGAACGAACGCTGTGGGAAAAGTGTCGAATTTATTGTGTGCATTGTTTTTTAAACGGGCTTTGTTTTTTTTTTGTGGACGGGTGAGTGTGTGTGTGCGTGTGTGCGAGCAAGATGGCATAATTTGCATATGTGTTTGTGGTACCAGGGCTGCCAACCTGCTGGCTTCGCGTTTGCAGTGACAGCAGCGCTCAGCTGTTCGTCTCGAGCAGCATGTGTCGCAACATTCAGCGGCAGCACAGTTTTGCATGCACTGCGCAACTATTGTTATTGATAACACGAATAAAGTTTTGTTTATTTTTCCCATTTCTTTTTTCAGACAATGCCACTCGCGTCGCCTAGCTAACTCTGTTAACCTCCTCATCAACATTGGCCGTTAGCAGCTTCCACCATTGCATTCGCATCATTCACTCACTGCCAGGCACAGCAAGGAGAGCAATCAAACATGCCCATGAGTGATGTGGCTGCAGCTTTAATCTACACGGAGCAAGGCAACGGCAAACACGCCAAGTCCCAACCAACAACGATAGCAACAACAACAACTGGAGCCACTGCAGCTGCAGCAGCCGGCATGACCAACTCCTCCTCTAAGTCGGATTCAATTGGTGGCGCTGCTGCAGCTGCCGCTCAGCTGGGCAACATGCGAGCGCCTTCGCTGAGCAGCATGCAGGGCCAGAAGTGGCAGCAGGTCTTCGACCTGGATAAGGTGATCAAGCAGCTACGCGCAGCGGAGAAGACACACCTGCGCGGCAACAACAAGGCCTCGTCTGCCGGCGGCTCTGCTGCTCCGCATGTGGTGCAGGTGCAGCGTCTGAATGCCTCCGACATGGCCTACTATGACATGGTGCCGAAGCTGGCGGCACGTGACATTGTCGTGTGCAACGCTTGCAATGGCAGCTACACCAAGGCCGGTTTCAACAATCACATCGCACTGCAGCATCCCAGCATCTGGGATGCGGCACCCAACAAGCTGAGCAGTAGCGCCGCCGGAGCGACGGCGGCAACTGTTGCTGCCGTCGCCGACAGCAGCCAAGATGGCGAGCTGTTGGGCTCACCCACGGACACGCTGTCGGCGACCATGTCCAGCTGCTCGAACGGCTCCAGCAGCTCTCTGGCAGCTATCAATAATAGTAATAACACCAATATCAGTTCGGCCTCGTCTTCGTCGTCGTCGCGTCATAAAAGCAGCAGCAGCAAGAGTAGCAGTTCCTCAAAGACCGGCAGCAGCAGCAGCAACAGCAGCAGCACTGGTCGCTCCCGTTCCAAGTCATCCAAGAATCGCCACCACTCGGATGTGCACCACACTAAGGTGGGTGGCTCTAAGAAGAGCAGTGCCATAGCCACCGCTGCCACAGCACCGGCACCCGTTGCAGCAGCAACTGTTGCTGCCGTCAAGGAGGAGCTGCCAGCAGCCGGCGCACAGCCCGCTATAACAGTCTTCTCCTCGTCATCGAATTCTTCGTGCTCGCTGCCGCCGACGCCGGCAACAGTTGCTGGCAATGGCAACGGCAACGAGCACGGCATCAACTACTCACCCGCCAACAACATGCTGGACGARCAGCAGCAGCAGCATCAGCCCAGCAAGAAGAAGGTATGGCACATAGGTATACGAGTAACATGTAACATTTAATGCACTTGCCCCAAATCTTTGCAGCTGAAAGCGACCGGATCAGGCGAAGCCACATCCCATCATCGCAGCAAACCTGCCAAGGAGAAGCAACTAGCGCCACTCTACGAGCAGCAACAGCTGAGCGAACTGGATCAGGCAGTCTCCTCCATCACTGGCCAGGTGAATGTGGAGCAGCTGCAGCAGCGCCATCAAGTCGACCTCTCAGCCGCCACCGAGGAGGCACTGCCCCTTATGCAGAACGCATCCGATGATAATTCCATTTCGCTGACTCTGGACATGCTCGACAGCAAGTTCATCAATGAAATCCTAAACACTGTCGAGTCGGACCTGCCCTTCGACGAGAGCGCTCTAGACACATCCCAACAGCAGCAGCAACAACAGCAGCAGCAACAGTTGTCAGCGGATCAGCTGGAGCCGAATACGAAACGTTTGCGCTTTGACGACGGCACAATTCAAGCCGATGCAGCGGAATATGCAGCAGCACTCTACCAACAGCAGCAGCAGCAGCAGCAGCATGGGCAACAGGTGTACACTGAGGAGCCCCAGCAGACACAACTGTCTGCCATGGATGCAATGCAGCTGCAGCAGCTGATCTATCAGCAGCAGCAAATGCTTGAGCAGGCAGACCAGCAGCAGCAGCAACAGCAGCAGCTGAAGCAGGAGGAACTGCAGGCAGAGGCAACAGCGCAATTCAGTGTCTACAATGTGCCCTCGCTGACGGACGATGTGGAGGAGACGACGCAGGTGGCCGGCGACGAGCAACTGATGCTGCCCAGTATTATCTATGAGATTACCGACAATAACCAGGTGTCTGTCCTGGATCAGCAGAGCCAGCAGCAGGTCATAGCCGAGTTTCTCACCCAGGCGGGCTACGACAATGTCGACGTGAACGTGCTGCAGGAGGGCGTCAATGTCGGCGGCAGCGGCGGCAATCAGATGATGTACGATGAGCTGGGCGAATTTGATTTTAGTAAATTGGAGACTGTTAGCGGGGATGCCAACAACCACACAAAGACTGTCAAGCTGGAGAACAACCAGCCACAACAACAACATCAACAACAACAACCACTACAACCAACGGGTGGCAACAGCAACGGGTTCAACCACTTTGAGGGCGTGTTGCACGCCCAGCCACATCGCCAATTGGCCAACGCCAAATACCACGAGGATTCAACGTACTTTAATATGACACTATACTCGGGGCCACCCCGCCCCCTGGCCATGAACACCTTCGGTCTGGTGAAGCTGCCCAATGGCATGGGCGCCACGTTGCGCAAGAATCTCCTAACTACTCGCAAGGCCAACAACAGTTTGCTCTCGCTCAATGGCAGCAGTGGCGTCGTGGGCACCTTGGCGCGTGCCCCGCCTCCGCCGCCAACTGTCAATTGCAACGGCAGCAGCAATGGCTCGCAGCAGCTGTTGCTGCCACGCGTCGCTGCCGGTCAGGGCAAGACAATCTATGCCCAGAGATGCAGCGTCATAGCACAGGAGCGACTGCGATGCAACAAGCGGGCGTTGCTCAGTAAACTGAGCAACGGCAGCAGCCACAGCAACAGCGCTGGCAACATGACAGTGAAGCGCCTGCAGGAGTTGCTGGCGGGCAAACTGAAGCCGGAGAAGGAAAAGGAGAAAGATAAGACGGACTATAGCGAAGCTAGCGAGCAACAGCTGCAACAGCAGCAGCAGGAGGAGAACAAGCGCATGCACAGTTTCTATGAGAAACGGCGCAAGTTGCTCGCCACGCGACAGCATCGACATTTGCCTATTGGCGGCGGCGGCGTCAGCAACAATCGCCCGTTTAAGCGCCAGCGGCCCATGCATTTACCGCTGCAGCTGCACGGCCACAGCAACAACAGCAGCCACAGCAACAACAATGCCATTGGCAGTCCGCAGCAACAGTTGCTGAAGAAGCAGCTGTTGCGCACCTTGTCCGACAGCAGCAACATTCAACTGACTGCAACAGCAACAGCAGCGCCTGTGGGCGGCAATGGCGGCAGCAGCAACAATCCGTGGAAGAGCAACAGTTCCACGCCGGGCAGCAATTCGGCGGGCAGCGATCTAATGCGTGTATTTGTCTGAATATATACAAATACTTATACATTATACAAAATATGCTAAATGATTATGATTAACAATTATGATAGTTGTATACACACCCACACCCACACCCATACACACACACATATACACACACACCTAGAGCTAATTTAATAATTTTAATTATTTTTTAAATCAATTTTTTTCATTTTTTAAAGTGATAATTAGTTTTTGGCTAATTGATTGTACGTAGTTTCTTTTGTTAGTCTATGCAATAAGTTTAATTTAATTTTGGATGTTAAGCTAGACAGCATTATGTTGATAATCCCCCCTCTAATTTATACAATGTAAACTTTTAAATATAATTATATATAAATATATACATATGTATACAACTGCATGCATACGTTTAAAATGCGCGCCTTTTTATACGTTAACTGGTTTGCTAAAATTCGAATCATTTATTTCCTTTGCATTAAATTGGAGAGAGACTGTTCTTACTATGTGCAGGAAAGAAATTTAGTTAAAATTTACATAGACATATATTTATATATATCTGACGAGCACATTGTTAATATAAATATTAAAATTGCATTCAACGATAACGACTCAAATGAATTACAGTGAAAATATCTTTGCCCATGTTATCGATAGCAAATGGTTATCGCTAGCGAAAAGAGCTTTGTATGTGCCGGTGTTTTGGTTTTGCTGGGTACGTGTTTGTTTCTAATGTGATAAAATGAAATTGATTAACAACGCTGCTGATAAAATTGTAAAATAAGAGCAAAATACATCTATTGGCTGCAGTGTACGCTCATGCTAGTCCATCCTATTATTTCTAATTGATTTCTGTGTGCATCCAGGTGTTCCTCAGACCTGCTACAAGAAAATGCGAACAATCAATGCCCAAATTATTTGGTGCATTCTCTTAGGTAGCCAATACGTGCTATGCACCTTGACGCCCGACAGCAAAAACAAGAACAAACGTGACTCGAAATTTCTACGTGGTCCGCAGGACAACGATGTGTTTACCCTGAACTTGGTGTCACCGGAGCCCCTGGCAAAGGATATACTAATCCATCATGAAGGCTACTACAAGGACACGGCGCTGCGTCGCTTCAATGGCACTGTGCTGGGCTACGTGACGCCGGCAAGTATTGGACACCTTCAGCTAGAAACTACCTTGACTAATTATTCATTTTCCTGCAGTGGAACTCGCATGGTTATGATATAGCCAAAATCTTCGCCAAAAAATTTGATATCATCTCACCAGTCTGGCTACAAATCGTGAAACGTGGGGATGAATATGCAATAGCTGGCGACCACGACATCGATGCTGGCTGGATAAATGATGTACGGCGCAAGGGCAAAGTGCAGCAACAACAGCATCTGCGCACTGTAAAATGTAAAACTAATGATAATCCGTCTGTCATGAAGACCTACTCATTTGTCCATCTCCTTGAATATTTTCTCTAGTCTTCCCTCGCATCATCTTTGATCACTTTACGGATCGAGACATAAAGCTGTTGCTGAGCGATGCGAAGGAGCGAACAGAGTTAAATGAAATGCTGATCCGAGTGTGTAAGCAACATGGATTCGATGGCTTGGTTCTGGAGGTGTGGTCGCAGCTGGCGGGGCGCATAGATGACAAGATACTCTACACCTTGGTGCTGCAAATGGGTGCATACAATTACCCTCTATTCTATAATATTCCATATTCATATATAAATCTCTGATCTTACAGCCAAGGAGCTGCAGAAGCAAAAAATTCGACTGATTCTAGTGATTCCGCCGCAACGCAAGGATATGCCAAATTTGTTTGGTGAGAAGCATATGGACAAACTGTACAAGTACATATATGCCTTCTCTCTGATGACATATGATTACTCCACGGTGCAGCGTCCAGGCGCGAACGCTCCTCTTTATTGGGTGCGCTCGGCTGTGGAGCACATCGTGCCTGATGGTTGCCAAGATATGGAGGTGAAGCGAGCTAAAATATTGCTGGGCTTGAACATGTATGGCAATGATTATACGCCCGATGGCGGAGGCCCCATTACATACGGTCCGTACCTGGACCTGCTCAGGCACGTGAAGAAGCACCTGACCCATGATGAGCGCGATATGGAGAATTTTTTTGAAATAAGGTGAGTGGTCATCTATTTCGCTTGCTTATTAAACCTAATCAAACTAATTCTCTAGAACTGAAACGGGTCGTCACATTGTGTTTTATCCGACGCTTTATTCAATCAATGAACGCATCCAATTGGCTCAGCAGCTGGGCGTTGGCATCTCCATTTGGGAGCTCGGTCAAGGATTAAACTACTTCTACGATCTCTTCTAAAGGGGAACACATTCCGATATAGTGAATATCTGTGGTCGATTTTGCTTAATTTAATGGAACATCTGACAACTGCACACAATATAAGTTGCATTTAATTATTATATGGGATTGTCAAATCGGATTTTCAGTTTCAATTGCAGTTATGCGCCAGCCAACGCAATTATCGATTTATCGATTTAAAATACCCAAATGGCCTACAGCCCTAGTTCACATAATCCCTAGAGGAATTTGTTGAATTTTTGAAAAGCGTAAAGTATTGAAATGTTCTAAAATTATTTAAAATGCGGATTTAAAAATCAGAGGCTTTGAATAAATAATTAAAATAAAACACAAATTATGGAAAATTTTCAAAATTTAACATTATTTTAAAAAGTTGCCGCTTGAATGGCTTGCACCCCTGGTTAATGTATCACGTTATTTTCGCCATCCCTGCGGTTTTACTTGCATTTCATTTTTGCGTTTGTTTACATCGCCGGGTAGCAATTGTGTTTTATAGGAATATGCGTTGGATTTACGCATGTTTTGTAATTGTACTCTGCGCGATAATCTTCTGCGAATACGTGGCCGACTTTGTCGTGCTACAAAACTGCAAATGGCCCGAAATACGCCGCAAGAAGTATGTGGATGATCCATTGCGAACGATGGTCATAGCCGATCCCCATTTGCTTGGCCCACATCGTGGTCATTGGATGGACAAGCTGTACAGGGAGTGGCATATGAAACGCTCTTTCCAGGCAGCCTCGAGGCTGCTACAACCGGACGTAGTCTTTGTGCTGGGCGACCTATTCGACGAAGGCGACATGGTCAACGACAAGCACTTCGATAGCTACGTAATGCGCTATCTACAAATGTTTAATCTTCCTGCTGGCATACCGCTAATTAGCGTGGTGGGCAACCACGACGTGGGCTTCCACCACAGGTAAATCATATGGACTGGAAGTTGACACATTTGACTTTTAATGTCCATCTTGATCTCGACAGGATGCATCCCTTCTTTACGTCGCGCTTCGAGCACTATTTAAACTACTCCATGGTGCACTTGTACACCATTAAACAAATACACTTTGTTATGATCAATTCCATGGCCATGGAGGCCGACGGCTGCATGTTTTGCAATGAGGCAGAGCAAGCGCTGAAGACTATATCGAATACTCTGTTCTGCATGCAGCATCCGCATGTGGCGGAGTGTGCACGCACGCGTCGTCATCCATATAGCCAGCCGATAATAATGCAGCACTTCCCCACGTATCGGATATCGGACAAGGTGTGTCGGGAGCACGATGCGCCACACATTGAAGCCTTCAGAGAGCGGTATCATGTCCTCTCTAAAGAGGCGACCGACACGATAGGCCAATTGCTAAAGCCGAGGCTCGCCTTTGCCGGGCATTCGCACTACTACTGCCACAACATCAACCGATTGGGCATTGACGAGTATACGGTGTCTTCCTTTAGCTGGCGCAATAATGTTAATCCCAGTTTTATGCTGGTAAGCCCTTACAGTCAGTTCTAACTCCTCCAAGACTAATGCCGAACTGCCCTTGCTTTCAGGCCACCATTACGCCTGATGACTATGCGGTCAGCAGATGCAAAATGTTGCCACAGCAATTCGTAATCAATAGCTACTTAAGTGCGGGCATTGCGTGTTTGGTGCTCGTCGCCTGCCAGTTAAAAAAGTATTGGTGCAGCCGGAGGCTAACGACATCGGAGACAGCCCATTTGAAGCAACATTAACTGGAGTATGAAATGTTCATGGTTTTGTGATTCTTTGCCAAAGTGTAGAGGCTTAAATTAAATTGTTGTTTAAATTGTAGAATACGCGCTCAATCACTGACTCTCATATCACTGGCAATGGCAAACTTGATATATACCTACATATATAATATATTTATTAATTTATTTAGTTAGATATTAATCCTTTTATCACAGACATAATGCTTGAAYAACAAACAAACAAAAATGCCAAAAGAAAATACAATTTAACTGGAATTCAACATAAACTAAAAGAAAATTAGTTTTCAATAAAGCTACAGATTCATAAATTCCTGTACCTGTGTGTGAATGGGTGTGTGTGTGTGTGTATACATGTATAAGTGTGTGTGCGCCCTTCTGCAAATTTGTACTACTTACTAAACTAAGATTAGGCTCAAGTTAAACTAACTTATAGAATGTAGTGGAAGCTGCGACTCCCGTTGGTTTAGGAATTCGTTTTGTAGTTAACTTAGTTGGCTTAGGCACCTGGTTCTACTTTGTATTCATGTGCGATTCAGYAGATTCGTCTGCTGCTGCTGGCGGCTGACGAAACACTCCTTGGGCAGGAATCGATGGAGGACTGGCGATATGAGGTCCGCGTCGAGCGTCTTCACGTCCGTGGGCTTCGTAAGCAGCGAGACAATGGAGCCGACCACAATGACTGTGGCCACGCCGATTGGGTTAATCCAGTGATACGAGAGACGATAGAGTGGAAACACATCCTCCTCATTCACCCAGTTGTGTTCCGGCAGCGTTACATTCGTCGTACACTGCTCCACGGATACGTTGAGCTTCTGCGAGTTGAGCTGACCCGCTGCAATGGTGAATTGGGTGCCAAAGGATATCCAGCCGGCCAGCAAGGCACCCACGATGCCACCAACCGCTGTGCCCACGTTGTTCGCCCACGGCACGAGCATGCCCAGGGTGAAGAGGCCAAAGGTGGTGCCCGCCGCAATGGCCGTCATGGAGGTGCAGATGCTCAGGACGCCACTCAAGTGCTCCAGCACTAGAACCAGGGACAGGGCAATCACGCCCAGAACTAGAATGCTGCCCTTGACCAAGATTGTAGAGGCGCGTTCACTGGGCTGAATCTTGAAGCAGCCCCGCACAATGTCCTCCAATATGACCAGCGACGTGGAGTTGAGCACCACAGACAGTGAGCTCAAGGCGGCGCCAAAGATGCCCGCAATGAAGAGACCAGCCATGCCAGAGAGATGCCCCACACTCTGCACCACGTACAGCGGCAGCAGCTGATCGTCGTGCGTGATGAGGCCTGCAGTGAGCGGATCACAGTCCTGGTACTTCTCGAAGATCAGCAGACCCACGTAGCAGCAAACGGAGACGAAGGCAGCCACGCCAATCGTGAATATGGCCATCGAGGCGCGGGCCTGCTTCAGCGACGGCAGCGACATATAGCGCTGCACCATGGTCTGGTTGACCGCATTGAAGGAGGTCCAATACGAGAAACCGCCAATGAGCACGCTCCACACCGTGTGGCGGACATAGGGCGATGGATTGATATTGGTGAAGATTAGGCGTTCACCCTTGGCAGCATCGTCGAACAACTTGTCGATTCCGTTGGCGTAGAACGTGCCCAGGATAGCCACAGCGAGCACCGAGAGGAACATGACCAGCGTCTGCCAGGCATCCGTGTGGACGACGGCCTTGATCCCTCCAACAAAGGTATAGAAGACGCACACGATCACAATCACCGATGATATCACATGTAAATTGATGCCGGAGACTGTGAGGAGAGATCGAGAGAGTGTTCAAATATGATATTTGCTTGAGATAAGCTACTGAGAAATTACTTACCTTGATTCAATGCAATAGCGGGCACATATACAATGAAAGGCAGAAAGAGTATCTGAGAAGAGATGAGTCATATGAGTCATAAATATTGGATGATTTGCTCAGCTGTACTCACCTCGTCCAGAATGAACATAAATGAAGCTATGCTGCGTATCACCGAATGGAAGCGCATTTCCAAGTACTAAAAATAGAATAAATAAATATGTATATATATAAAATCTATATATATTTTC